TAGATAGATAGATAGATAGATAGATAGATAGATAGATAGATAGATAGATACCCTATTTCCCCCAAAATAAGACATCCCCTGATAATAAGCCCAATCAGGCTTTTGAGCGCATAGCAATAAGGCCAAGCGCTTATTTCAGGGTTCAAAAAAAAATATAAGACAGGGTCTTATTTTCGGGGAAACACGGTAGAACCTAGCTGGATGGGTCAAGCAGAGGTTGGACAGCCATCCATGGAAACTCTCTTCATCTGAACACTTGCCCTGAGCAGCAGGCTGTAGGAAAGGGCTTCTACCTCCCTCCTGTTCTGCAGTCTTTCCCATGGTGCAAATTGACCCCAGGCTGATGGGTATTCATAACCGGGTCCTTGCTGTCCCGTCCATCAAGCTTTGAAAGGCCGGCGAGCCAGGCTGTCTCCTGCACGCAGAATGCTCACCTCCGTCTGGCTTGCCTTGTCTCCGCAGAAAGTAATAGTTTGGTCTAATTGTTACTGTCTCGATCAGGATGTGCCAGGCCTGGGTTCTTGGCAGATCATTAAGAGGCTTTTAAGGAGAGCGTGGATCCGAGCCAAATGCAGTGGCGTGCAGGGACAATCAGGAAGATGGCCTCTTGTGATTTAATAGACCCGGGCCTGTGCGTGAGCTCCAGCTGATAAAATGCTCCGAGGCCCATTTAGATAAGGAAAGGACCTAGGAGGACAGCCTCGATTCCACAAATAAATAAACCGTATTTTTCAGAGTGTAAGACGTACCTTTCTCCCCCCTAAAAGGGGATGAAAATTTAGGCGCATCTTATACACCCAATGTAGCCCCACCTACCCACTGGCCCTCACCCTTTGGCCTCTGCCTCCCAGCAGTTTACCTCCTTGCAGCAAGCAGCAAGAAGAAACAGCCCGTTTCAGCTTCAGCACAGCCTAATGAGCACAAGTGTATTGGATCGGCCTCCCGACTCTCAGCTGTTTTGCTCTCAGCTGTTTTGCGCGGGCCTCTTGCTTGCTGCAAGGAGGTAAATTGCTGGGAGCAGATTTTTTTTTTTTCCCGTTGTGCTAATCAGGCTATGCTGAAAACGAAAATGAAAGTAAAGTTAAGTTTCCAGCCTCTGGAGCCTGGGGGAGGCTGTTTTTGCCTTCCCGGAGGCTCAAGGAAAGCCTCCAGAGCCTGGGGAGGGTGAAAATGCCTCCCCCCTCCGCCGTGGTGCAGGAAGCCAAGCAGGCCACACCCAACATGGCCACGCCCACCCAGCAACTGGGCAGAGAACCGGTTGCTAAAATTTTTGAATCCCACCCCTGCCTAAACTCCGCTGAAGATGTTACCTAGTCTGGTAACGAGACATTCAGAAACCAAGCCGCAAGCGGCGGCAAAAATGCCTAATACGTTTTTCTCCATCTATTTTCCCCCACAACAACAACCCTGTGAGGTAGGATGGGCTGAGAGAGAATAAGTGGTATAAAGTAATTCAGCCAGCTTTCAGTGATTGGCCTGAAGACACCCGGTCAGCAGTTTACATCTAAGGCGATGGGACTAGAACTCACAGTCTCCTGGTGATTGGCCTGAAGACACCCAGTCAGCTTTCTTACCTAAGGTGGGGGACTAGAACTCACAGTCTCCTGGTGATTGGCCTGAAGACACCGGTCAGCTTTTACATTCTAAGGCGGGACTAGAACTCACAGTCTCCTGGTGATTGGCCTGAAGTCATCCAGCCAGATGAATGCCTGAAGTGGGACTAGAACTCACAGACTCCTAGTTTCTAACTTGGTGCCTTAACCACTAGTCCAAACTGTCTATCTTTTCTTCTATTGAGAAGCTGCTTTGGAGTTA